TGATGCATATCTTGAGACCTGCTAGTCGTTACCATTGCCATCTCCTCAGATCACTTAATTAATTTAACTCACCTATTCCTCTCCCTTGCTTACACTTCGGTCCTCTCTCACAATCTTCACTACCAATTAATAAACTAAATTCATCTATTATTTTATTTTTATTAATGACCAATAACAATAGTACTAGATCAAAACGTATTCAAGATATATATATATATATATATATATATATATATATATGTTGAATATCAAAGTTACTGACTGAAATGGAACCGGTTAGTTAAATTATTAAGTCCACATATGTTACAATTATTATTATTATTATATCAGCCTTCCTCATTCATCATGTACGAGGAGAAAATCATCATCATCATCATCATCATCTAGGTGAGGAAAGCACATATGAGGAGAGAAAAAAATATCAACTCGGAGAACACATTAAAACAAATACCACCAATACATACATACATGTATATATATATATATATCTATATATATATGAACATAAACGACACATATGCTTGCTTAGTTAGAGGCATTGTGAACACAATGTCATAATTTGAATCTGATTGATTTGTTATATATATAGTTTCTTTTCGAAAAAAAGGAACTTTTCTTTTTTTTGATACGCGTATAGCTCGATCGCTTGCTAGCTAGTTGAGCTTAGTTGACAGAAGACCACACATAACACAAAACAAACCAAAAACGATCATTTCCAATGGGGGAAAGCAAAAAAAAAATACAATTTGCAAATAGAAGAAAATGTGCTTATTCTACACTCTGAGAATAATTTACAAAATCTATAAAACATCAAATAAAGTAAATTGATAGGTAATAATATTCTAAAGAGGGAAATTGGAAAGATAGTTTAGTCATGAAGAAAGAAAAATCAAATAAACATTTTTTTTTAAAATTTTGATTTCTATGAACAATTCAGAATAGGCATTTTAAAAAAATCGATTGAATGAAGTGTGTGTGTGTGTGTACGTTTTTTGTTCACCAATTATTATTTATATATATATATGTATATTAACGACCCATTAGAGCAACTCCAAGGGCTTTACGTTGTTCTTCATTCAACTGACTTACGCATACTTCTACCAATGATGAATTAGATTGAATGTGACGCAGTATGGATACGCATCGTTGATAAGCGGAAGGTTTTTCTAAACCGTTTTGTTGATTAAATCCACTAGCTTGATTACCAGTTTCCAATTTTGATCGATTTTCTTCTGTGTTTGTATCTGACAAACCGCCAGTAGACATGGATTCAGCAATAGCACGAACAATACGGGGTAGGTTGGAATTATCCGGTCCAATGACAACAGGATTGTTAGCTTCAATAAGATCACAAAGATAGCCGTATACATGTTCAGTCTCTACAGTATCATCCCATATAGGAAGCCATCCTAACCATCTGACAATTAAAGCGTCGAGGCCTCCCAATGCTGCCGGCAAACATTCAGGTCGATATTTCATAATCTTAGTAATGGCACTAATTGCATTTTCAGTGCATAGATTATTCTCTTCAGATTTTGAATCCGGTGCTTCAATTAATTGTATAAGTGGTCCAACAAAATCTATATATTACTCAGTTCTGAAGTTTTACTCATATTATCATTTTAATTTACACTTATTACCCTTATTACTCTCCACATTGCAACTAACTGATCTCCGGTTTGGTAATGTGACGGCTGCTAGTATCCAGAAACCCTACTGCCCTGAAACAAACGTTTTATTCAAATCCCGAGACAGACAAACTCACAACCAACTGCCAACTGACTAGAATTAGACAGTCGAGTGGCTAGACCTCCATCCATTGGACATTACCGAACACCTGGAACCGTACCGAAAGAACAAGAATCGAGCGCGAAGAAATCAAATTGGTTTACACTAGCTCGTGAAAAAGATACTGGATATTGGATATTGGAAGGTTGCGTTACGACAATCATCTTATGGACTGAGAAACGATTCATGGTAGAGATAGGTTTTCATGTAACAAGAATTGATGCGGTAAATGTACAAATGTCTGGTTTATATTCGTCAGCTAATGATTTCACATGTTCTTGGGTAGGGTAACCAAGTCTACTGCAAATATCCAGACTAATATATGTGGATTGGAATAAGGTTCTGAAAAAAGAGGAATAAAGAAAACGGGACGAGGAGCAGAACGGGAAATATTCATGTTCAAAGCCGAACAATGTCTTTGCACATACGTTTATGGATAAAACAAAGGTATGTTTACCCAAACATTTTTAATATCAGAACACTTTACACCTGCGCTTATGTAGGTTAATGAAGACAATTCAGTAGTGAGATAACTAATGAGAAGTTAGTCGAAGGAATCGAGGAAATTCAGAAGAACCAAGTTGTTAGTAATAAAGTTGATTTATGAAATATAATAAACAGGATCAGTGATATAGTTTTTTGGTTTTATTTATTCTTTTTATTTTTAACTCTGAGGCTCAAGAAGTTATGAATGAGCTCTTTTTTAGTATAGTTGTCCAGACCAGCTTGTAATAGGATTTCTCGGTAGGAAGTAAAAACCAGTACAAGGTTACAGACATGGGTTATAGACGAGGTTAACAAGGATAAGTAACATCAATATCATTGACTTGTTACATCCTGCTATATCGTAAGGAGCCGTAAGCAAACAAAATGTTCTGCCACACAGACATGGGTAGATTGAGGTTATCGCCCCACCGTCATGAATGCTGGTCGGAAACTCCACCCTCCCTCCTTTTGTGATGTTAGGCTCTCTTACGTTTAATGGTTAATTGTAAATAATGGTCTCTAGTCTACTCTCAATTTTTTTTTGTACACCTTATCGGAATTAACATTCTCTACTAGCTCCAACATTACAAGCAATCCAGACAACTTTGCCAGATAATATATCCACATAGCATATCACACTGATTTTAAGTAAACGAATGGTATAATTTGTAAGATGAGTCAGTTAATAGGTAGTTTGGAAATAGGAAGGACAGGGAGCTGGAACGAGGAGAAAGTGAAAAAAAGAGTTGAAATAATGTTAAAAATTAGTGAGTAAAGCGATAAGTTGGTAAACAGGCAAGGTGTTTGCATGTTAATGAATTGGGGAAATAAAAATTAGTTAAACTGTTAATACTTAAATAAGAAGATACAATGATACACGGTGTTTGAGTTCCTTGTAATTGACAGTAGTTGATCAGCATCTACAGGCCTTGCAATTTTTCTGTCTACTAGACAGAAAAATTGCAAGGCCTGTAGATGCTGATCAACTACTGTCATATTACAAGGAACTCAAACACCGTGTATCCCTTGTTTCTTCTTATTTAAGTATTAACAGGTTTAACTAATTTTTATTTCCCCGAATTCATTAACATGCAAACACCTTGCCTGTTTACCAACTTATCGCTTACTCACTAATTTTAACATTATTTCCAACTCTCTTTTTTCACTTTCTCCTCGTTCAGCTCCCTGTCCTTCCTATTTCCAAACTACCTCATTAACTGACCTCATCTTACAATATTACCATTCGTTTACTTAAAATCAGTGTGATATGCTATGTGGATATATTATCTGTAAAAGTTGTCGGATGGCTTGTAATGTTGGAGCTAGTAGAGAATGTTAATTCCGATAAGGTGTACAAAAAAAATTGAGAGTAGACTAGAGACCATTATTTACAATTAACCATTAAACGTAAGAGAGCCTAACATCACAAAAGGAGGGAGGGTGGAGTTTTTTGACCAGCATTCATGACGGTGGGGCGATAACCTCAATCTACCCATGTCTGTGTGGCAGAACATTTTGTTTGCTTACGGCTCCTTACGATATAGCAGGATGTAACAAGTCAATGATATTGATGTTACTTATCCTTGTTAACCTCGTCTATAACCCATGTCTGTAACCTTGTACTGGTTTTTACTTCCTACCGAGAAATCCTATTACAAGCTGGTCTGGACAACTATACTAAAAAAGAGCTCATTCATAACTTCTTGAGCCTCAGATTTAAAAATAAAAAGAATAAATAAAACCAAAAAACTATATCACTGATCCTCTTTATTATATTTCATAAATCAACTTTATTACTAACAACTTGGTTCTTCTGAATTTCCTCGATTCCTTCGACTAACTTCTCATTAGTTATCTCACTACTGAAGTGTCTTCATTAACCTACATAAGCGCAGGTGTAAAGTGTTCTGATATTAAAAATGTTTGGGTAAACATACCTTTGTTTTATCCATAAACGTATGTGCAAAGCCATTGTTCGGCTTTGAACATGAATATTTCCTGTTCTGCTCCTCGTCCCGTTTTCTTTATTCCTCTTTTTTCAGAACCTTATTCCAATCCACATATATTAGTCTGGATATTTGCAGTAGACTTGGTTACCCTACCCAAGAACATGTGAAATCATTAGTTGACGAATATAAACCAGACATTTGTACATTTATATGAAAACTTATCTCTACCATGAATCGTTTCTCAGTCCATAAGATGATTGTCGTAACTTGCGCCAATTCAATATCTAATATCCAATATCCAATATCTTTTTCACGAGCTAGTGTAAACCGGTTTGATTTCTTCGCGCTCGATTCTTGTTCTTTCGGTACGGTTCCAGGTGTTCGGTAATGTCCAATGGATGGAGGTCTAGCCACTCGACTGTCTAATTCTAGTCAGTTGGCAGTTGGTTGTTAGTTTGTATATCTCGGGATTTGAATGAAACGTTTGTTTCAGGGCAGTAGGGTTTCTGTATACTAGCAGCCGTCACATTACCGAACCGGAGATCAGTTAGTTGCAGTGTGGAAAGTAACAAGGGTAATAAGGGTAAATTAAAATGATAATATGAGTAAAATTTCAGAACTGAGTAATATATAGATTTTGTTTGGGACTCCCTTATACAATTAATTGACAGCACCGGACTTCAAAATCTTGAAGGAGAATAATCTAATGCACTGAAAATGCAATTATTGCCATTACTAAGATTATGACATATACGACCTGAATGTTTGCCGGCAGGCATTGGTTTGAGGCCTCAGACGCTTTTTAAATTGGTCAGATGGTTAGGATCGGCTTCCTATATGTGTGGATGATACTGCCTAGAGACTGAACATTGTATAACGGCTATCTTTGTGATCTTATTGAAAGCTCACAATCCTGTTGTCCTTGGACCGGATAATTCCAACCTACCCGCGTGTATTGTTGTCGGTGCTATTAGCTGAATCCATGGTCTACTGGCGGTTTGTCAGCTATCAAGACAAGCTAGGGATTAATCAACAAAACGGTTTAGAAAAACCTTCGCTTATCAACGATGCGTATCCATACTGCGTCACATTCAATCTAATTCATCATTGGTAGAAGTATGCGTAAGTCAGTTGAATGAAGAACAACGTAAGCCCCTTGGAGTTGCTCTAATGGGTCGTTAATATACATATATATAATATAAATAATAATTGGTGAACAAAAACGTACACACACACACACACTTCATTCAATCGATTTTTTTAAAATGCCTATTCTGAATTGTTCATAGAAATCAAAATTTTAAAAAAAAATGTTTATTTGATTTTTCTTTCTTCATGACTAAACTATCTTTCCAATTTCCCTCTTTAGAATATTATTACCTATCAATTTACTTTATTTGATGTTTTATAGATTTTGTAAATTATTCTCAGAGTGTAGAATAAGCACATTTTCTTCTATTTGCAAATTGTATTTTTTTTTTGCTTTCCCCCATTGGAAATGATCGTTTTTGGTTTGTTTTGTGTTATGTGTGGTCTTCTGTCAACTAAGCTCAACTAGCTAGCAAGCGATCGAGCTATACGCGTATCAAAAAAAAGAAAAGTTCCTTTTTTTCGAAAAGAAACTATATATATAACAAATCAATCAGATTCAAATTATGACATTGTGTTCACAATGCCTCTAACTAAGCAAGCATATGTGTCGTTTATGTTCATATATATATAGATATATATATATATATACATGTATGTATGTATTGGTGGTATTTGTTTTAATGTGTTCTCCGAGTTGATATTTTTTTCTCTCCTCATATGTGCTTTCCTCACCTAGATGATGATGATGATGATGATGATTTTCTCCTCGTACATGATGAATGAGGAAGGCTGATATAATAATAATAATAATTGTAACATATGTGGACTTAATAATTTAACTAACCGGTTCCATTTCAGTCAGTAACTTTGATATTCAACATATATATATATATATATATATATATATATATATATATAT